ACTCTGCTGTTCTATTTCTTTTGTTTGTTCTATCTTATTGTTCAGATTTTGGCACATCCATTCACAATGAAGTCGATACTGGTGGACACACACCTGGTGTTACAACTTCCACTATGCCTCCGTACATATTGCCGGATATTGAAAACATTTTAACTCAATCATCCTTCAATGATGATTTGGATGATCTTATGACCTATTGTGAGCAAAATCCGCCTGAAGATTCTAGTAAGAAGATACAAGAAAGCTTTCATTTTTATCAATCCTCATACATCTTTATACTTAATTGTAATAGGTCGCGCCATCAGCCGCTTGGAAGAGTTTTTGAGTAAGTCTCTGTGTGAAATGCTTGGCTACTCATTATGAATCGTACGTGTGACATCAAATTGCTTCTCTTTAATATCAATTTTGAAAATTCCATTATATGATTGAAATTTTCTATCATGAGAAATTTTTTTAGAAATATTTATGGTCGATACATTGTTTCTAATTCAAGTTTCACTGTCAAACATGTTTGTATTTACTAGATGTTAGAGAAACTGTTTTTAATTTGGTTAGTTGTCGAATGAAGTTAAATTGAATAAAAAGCGAGTACATGAAGATCTTGCTTGTGAGACTATTTATAGTTAGGCAGAAGCAGCAGGACAATCTTGGTGATACGAAGAAATCGAGAAGAACAATGAATCATGGATTCTGATTTCATGATTAGATACTTATTTTCAGTTGAAATCCATTATTTCTTTGTTGGAAAGTAGTTACTCATCAGAATAGTTATGAATAGTTGACAACAAATTGCACATATTGCACTTGAATGGTTATCACAATGTAATTAAGAATCATTCACTTTCAAACAAGATTATGCCGAAGATGAAGATGCCGAAATATTAGTGAAAAAGACCTCAGTACACAAATGGCATATATGCAAGTGTGTACAGCATCAGATCCCGTCTCAGTCCTGCAATAATATGACGAAAGTTAGAAATGTTACGGACCCACCGAACCGTGCGTTTTTTAAAACTGTTTAATCATTAAAATAGACACGTCACATAAAAAAGATCCGACATGCTTCGTGATTCTAGTCGAAAAATCTTTATGCTATATTTCATTGATGTTTTAACTTTAAAGGAAGTCGTAAACGTTCATCATAACCCAGAAAGGGAAACTGGTTTTTTTTCTACACTGTTGTAAGGTTTATCTTCTTGCTGGAAAATATCTGACCGTAAGCGTGATATAATCTGAATAACAATGATAAATCATCGTTATTGTATCAGGTCAAGGATATCTACAGTAGTTAATTATTAAACGCTAATTAATAATAACTACTTTCAGTTATCTATATCAAATACAGTAGCTAATCAATGACAATAACTCTGTTTCAAATTTCGAAGCTTTCTAGAGGTACTTTAAATATATGAAAAAGAATAAAAGTATTTCATATGCTATAAAGAGTATCAGAAAAATATTCAGAAAGAGAGCATGACAATGATCGAATAGAATCAATTGATTGGTACGACAGTATTCAGTCGAATGAGGTCCACAATTATTGTCTTTTGAGAAGCTCTTAAACTAGAATCTATGCCACCTGATAGTATGCAACAGCATTAAATTTAAAATAAGTGGCGAATAATTTGCTCATTTATGCACTAAGTAATACTATATCGAGCTTTTCGTAGTAAGATATTCGTTCGATCAGCAAGAAACACGCAAGACTATATTCTATTTTCAAATCGAAGAAAAAAGGTAGATAAGAGATCTCAAATTTTTGTTTGTTTATTTAGAGGAGCCTATATATTCCCATGCAATGTCTAATCCGGTGACAGAAAAAATGAATGCTGCAAATGTAACAACTGTGATAAATGACAATCACACCCCGGTGTATGCAGCTTCAACTACGTCAGAAGGTAATTCAAATAGTAGTATGTAATTTATATTTGTCTTTTACTCCCAATCGCTTTTCGTTTTTTAGGGATCCATAAAAGTATCCAACTTCCTGCGCTGATGTCAACTCCAGAAAAACATCAATTGAACGTTAATACCAGTGATGATCCGTCAGCAGTTAATTCGCTATCATCGTCAGATCAATCATTGTGTAAGCTTCTTTGAAAAAAAAATAGCCTTTCTTTACGGCCAACTGATTGCTTTTGAATGAGAAATACTTATGTCACAAAAAACGGATCATTATTTATTAGTGGTTAATGGAAAAAAATCGTAGTTTAGTGAAACAAACTGTCTGTGAATCGCTGTGAAGAAGCCGGTAGCTAAACCGATAAAAACAGTCGGTTCTTAGTACCTGAAAGAGTGTAGGGCTAAAAAAGAGAAAACAATTTTTTAAATCAACATTTTTTGGTAGATATATCGATGACAAAAATGTGCATGTGATTTTCTTTCCCATTGAATATAGGTTTTATTCTTTCCATAACATTTCATTGATATGTCTGCTAATTTTTTAGTTGTTGGACATCACTTTCTTTTTTAGACGCTCGCTCTCTTCAAAGAAATTCAAACATATATTTTTACGTTTGAAAGTTTTTTGTCTGTGTTTGAACGGTAGTTATAGCCACTATAGAGAAAGGAATAATTACAGAAAAATAGAGGTTCGATATTTATGAAGTGATCCTAACGATCCATGAAACATGGCCCTATTAAGTTAGGAAACTTAAGAAAAATTTAGAGGACAATACAAGGGGGAAACAGCAGAATCCAGTCCCTTGGATTCAAGTGGATTCAAGCGGATTCAAGTGGATTCATGGATTCTGCTGTTTCCCCCTTGGGACAATAACATCTAAATACTACATCATCTTATGTTGTGGTAATGACATCCTACTTGGAATTGGGTTGTCTAAAATACATGTATATATCCTGTTAAAAGCTGCTAAAATCATACGGCTGATCGGTTTCCATCCGTTTGAAGTGTGTATTTAGGCGCATTCCGATGGTTGACCAACCCGATGATCTTAGAATTTTCAAACGTAGAAAAACATTCTTTGACCTTAATGTGTTATGTGAAATGGTTTTTTTTCTGGTTCTAGAAAGAAACATTTTCGATGTTTCGGAAAATCAAGTTTAGATGCTATTTAATACGGAAATGAATACTCACTGAATTTGACTGCTTCTCGTTTGTTCATAAGTTTTCTTGTCGATAGATTTTCAGATGAGAGTTGAAAACAAGATGCACTAAAGATTTAAAAACGTTCTTAGTTATCATTAGACCTGTTGATTAATGTTTCACGTTTACGAGTTGAAATTCTTATGAAAAAATGGGTAATTATTGTACTTAGAGCTTTTCAGATGTTCATAAAATAGTTGCAAATCAGCCAGAGGAAGTGAAGAAAAAAAGTTGCTCAAGTCCGAAATCATTGCCATTTTTCTGTTTCTCTACCACCGAAATTTTATTTTTTCAGTACCACATTCTTTCAGTTAACAATCATCTTCGATGCGGAATAGAAACTCGGATCTTAGCTACTAACTTTAAGTAGGTTATCACTAGGTTATGAAAACAATCATAGTTTTAATTATGTCAACATTTCTTAAGAGAAAGAAAAATCGTATCGATGCAATTCATTTAATTTTGACTATATGAAAGAAACAAGAATTTGAGATGCACTTATTGCCTACTGTATGATAGTGACTTAGTCCTTTTTCTATGGGCTTATTTAATAATATTATTCATTGCTTTGTTTTTTAACCAAATCAACAGCATCATTAATTTTATGTGGTTTAAAAAATATGGGAAATACTTGCTATATGAATGCAATTATACAAGTTTTAGCTCATACAACGCCATTGAAGGATTGGGTTTTTAATAGCAATCATTCCGAGACATGTAAGCATATCTTTCTTTTTCTTGCATAACTTAATAAGACAAAGATTAACACTTGAACAAAAGGACGGGAACGCATTTGAAGCCAAATCGACCTATCCGTACTTTCTTGTGCCAACTTTAATGAATCATATGTGAAATGAAAGAGCATGTTGAGACTAGTATTTTGGTATTGATTTCATGAATTTTTGACAGGGTTTTGAAAGAAAAAGGCTACTAATAATTTAATCGATTTTTGGTCAGTATTCTAAGAATTACCCGTTTCTGACTGGATTCTATTTGACAAAAAAAAAAGACTCGACAAAATACAGCTGATGTTATGAATTTGATATATCTTTGATGAGGCTTCAGTTTTCAATTTAAATCACTAATTGATTGTTTAACTTAATGAGACATAGGGCAGATCCGCAGGTAGAAACTATTATCCTATGTACAGTTATGTATTAGGCGCTTCTATCGCCGGAAAAATATATGAATAAACAAAAAAAATGAAAAAACCACAGCTCTGATAGTGTCTGTTCGATAGTCCCTGTAAAAAGCTACAAAATCACATATTTTCTGAAGTGAAAAATGTCTGACAACCTAAAAAATTCCTAATCACAATATTCTTGAAGCGCAATTTTTCTCTATTTTCGGCCAATATTTTTGAGAGTTCGATTGGGAAACATTGAAATTTACTCAAAATAAATGTGATATTCGGAATGAGCACAAAAAGCTGAATATGTCTATGTATCATTGAAAGGATTTCCAGAACGTTTTTTTTTTTGTCAAAAAATTTACCCGTGGTACCTCTCAGGGGTCTGATGAAATATAAACTCGTTAAAAATCTTACTAATAACTCTTAAGTATCTCCTAATGGGAACTCTGCATGCTTAAAACAGCTTAAAAATTATTTTTTTGTACTATTCCAATGTTGGTTTGACATATTTCATTTTTCATCAAACCCCTGAGTGAGACAATGAGTAATTTTTTTTGACTAAACAGAAAAGGTTCTGAAAATCCTTTAAATGACACATAGACATACTCAACTTTTTGTGCTAATTCTTCGTCAAAAATGGTTAAAAGATGTATGGTTATCATGACTATTGCACATCTAACCAATCCTTCCATTTGTATCAAATTTTTTTTAGGTCGCCAGCCTCAGAGTTGTCTTCTTTGTTTGATCGACAAAACATTGAAAGGTATGCATAACGAACAATCTAAAAACAATAACAATCCAATATTTACACCAACGGACTTTTACAATGAATTGCAATCGTTACCGCTGAAATTCGAAAAAACAGATACTCAACAAGATTGTAATGAATTCTTATTGAAATTGTTTAATATTATTGAAAAACCATCAATATTATCCGAAGTTTTTGAATTTAATATTAAACGTGTTACTCAATGTGAAAATTGCAGATCATCACGCACTTCAGATGAGCCTCAAAATATCCTTGAATGTCCTGTACCAGAAAAAAATGGTGAACTATCGGATTGTTTAAATATTTATTTCAAAGAAGAGTATTTAACGGGTAATACTGCATATGACTGTCATTCATGTCAATCTAAACAGAATGCCAAAACTAAAATGGGAATTAACTCATTACCAAAAGTTTTATTAATTTCACTCAAACGATTTAAAGCAAATGGTCTAGAAAAATCACACTTTGCTGTTAAATATCCAGAAAAATTATGTATTAAGCAATGGTTAAGTGAAGATTGTTCGTTTGACATCACTGAAGAAAAGGAAATTTATCAACTTTTTGCCATTGTTGTTCATGATAGCAATAAAATGACAACTGGTCATTATATTTGTTATTTCAAAGACGAATTCACGAACATATGGTATAAAGCAGATGACAAGTTCGTTACAAAGACTGATTCTGCATTGGACATGGAGAAATCAGTCTACCTTTTGTGTTATGTACGATCTGATGTAACTGAGTCAATAAAAAAAATTTCGGTGTCGGGTATGAAAAATATTCGACTTTTATAAGTTTTTAAGTCTCACTTTTTCCTTTTAGCAATTAACTCGATTGACAATCAACATATAATTATTACAGATAGTGAGTATAAAGAGAAAGTAAAGGCAAAATAAAATATCTGAAGAATTAATTAAAATGTTCTTTTCTCTTTAGAAAAACTATTAAATGATTTGGAAAAGCAAGTTCAATTTCAGTTTTGTGAAAATGTATATCCTGAACAAAGACGTTTTTCAAAAGCTGATGCGTTTGGGAAATTGGGTTCAAATGAGTAAACTTTCTGTTAGCGAAAAAACAAACATTTTAAACTTTGCTCTAGGTCGAAAGCCTCAAGGCGTCTTTGGATTAAAGGAGAATTGAATACAACAGATCAAATCAGTTATCCAAAGCTAAAAGTATGACATAGATAAGTTGATTTCTATTGGCTATATTTCTAAATGTTCACTTTAGTTAGGCATTCCTCCTAAATATCACAATAATTCTTGGTCACTGAAAGTGCATACTGTTACGGAAAACAATGGAACTAACGGAATACATTATTTACAGTTGGAAAAAAAGATTTTAAAAGATCAAAGTGGTCAAAAAGATCCATTAATCAATTCAATTGAAATCAAGATAAAACAAGCAGATTTAGAAAATGGTTCTCTTACGTAAGATCAGTTTTTTAAAATTAATCCCCGAAAATGTAAAGATTAAGTCATGATTTTTCTTAAATTCTACTAAATATTGTAACAAAAAGTTACCCTTCTAGTCTTCTCGTACATACCCTGATAAACGTCAGTCACAGAGCATGGCAATAGCTTGGGAGTGATAAGTTACCAAGTAACTAGTAACAGATCCATTTTTAATTATATGATAACGTGAATGACGTGTAATCTTAACTTCATTCTACTACATCTGCTCGTCAGATATTCAGTGCAGATTATCACAGACGTTAATCAATAATAAGCATAGAACATGAAAAACACCTTTGATATTCGATTAGAGATTGTATATGAATAAAATCTCATAACTATATATATCAGCTACTTTCTTATTACATGTCGGAGCATTGAAAAAAGTAAGAATGAAGAAATGTGTTGCGAGATATATAGAATAAAATAATCTTCTAATGATCACTTGCAGCAGTTCCATGGTGTTTACACATTTTCATTGTGCATAGGATGAACTAATAGCTTCTTTTTTCTGCAGTGTGCAGATATGTGTTTGTAATGAGTCAAACTTAATTTCTGCTCAAACTCAGCCGTTAGTACCATTCTATGATTCTAAAACAAATCAACTTATTTTGCCAAGCGATCCCAAACGCTCAAATGCTACAAAAACTGCTACAGACTTAAACATCGATTTAAAAAATTGTCATTTGTTTTGTCTGCTGTATGTCAACAAAATCCCGTTGAAGTGGTGCATTTCAAATCACATGACTCAACGTGAGTAATTTTGACTGCTTTAGTAGAATTTAGTAGATTTCTTTTTTTATTTCAGTTAATGATGGTAATCCAAAAAAACGCAAACTAAAGAGCAAACAATCATCAGTAGAAAATCGTAAAAAATCTCGGGACAATGATAAACCGACGAAAAATAACAACGTCTGAATTGCACATTTATGATCGCCATAAATCGCTAGTCTCAACTTTTACTTGTCAATTTTAGAATAATATTTACAAAATAGATATTTTGATCAATAAAATAACAGAAAAAAGATTTTTAGTTCACTGTCCGGACTTATTTGGTGTTATTTATTACAGAGAATAACTTTGATTAGGCATCTACATAACATGTAAGCACAGAAGTACAATATATAATAAAAACTAAAAATTGAATGTTTAGTATAACTTGAGAGTGAAACTAGATAAAGCAAAAGCGTATACAGAATGATGTTGATTCCGAATTACATGCAACGATCGTTGGAGCCTTGCTTAACGGCTGCCGATATCGGGCAGCTTTTGAATTGACTTCCTTCTCTGCGCATTCCTGTATCCTATCAATACAAGTCTGTGAATGTGACAGCCTATCAAAACATGTAGTTTAAGTTGGTTTAATAAGCCTATCAGATGGCGTAATCTATCCACATTCTATGTTTTAAGATTTTAAAAAAACATTTACATTGTATAATTCAATGAAAAACAAAACATGTTTGGGGCACGGATGCGGAAGAGCCCATGCATCTACATCCACCCACATTCATACCCTTTCGGTCATGTTTCTTTGGACGATCTTCATTCCGACACCCAAAGCTATTGACAATATTTTGACACAATACCTGCAGTATAACAGACGTTCTAATATTATATGTATTGATACTAATTGTAATCAGTAAGTATAATGATGTGCTACGTTCATTATTAACTAAGTTATTGGTTGAGACTTTCGAAAACGATATTTTAAAGCTATTTTGCTTTCCATTTACATGAGACCGACATTCCCGATTTCAATCAATGGATCTGTGTTTATCCACACAAGCTGCTACGCAGATATAATTTATCATACTCATACGAATGGTTTTATACATCTTTAGGTTCGAACTTAACACACACTCTTATCTCAATATTTCAGAAATCTCGACTCTCTCGTGACATATGGAAGCTGATAGCCGAATTTCAAAAACACTGCGATACTAGAGTCAGATGAATTCGAACTTAAAAGTGATCATCACTTTGTGACTTAAAATGTTAACTTACGCCTGCCTAGTGGCGTTCCCGACTGATGACAGATCAACAATTTATAGAAATAATATAAGTAAATAATTGAATCTGATAAAGTTTTAACAAAACTATTCAGCTAATAAAATGAAGGATGATCAAAGCATAATGTCTTTTTATAGGACATGTGAACCGACTTTTTCTATTGAATTTTGATCATTTCCAAAAGTCACTATGATGTGATTTTTTGTGATTTCCTTCGAATTGCCAATAGAAACAAGTTCATCAAATTGTGTTAATATATCAGAGTTCGTTTTCATTCAAAATATTTTTATGAGAAGTCTTTAACAAAATATCAGAATTGGAATTTAGTTTTTATTCCATAAGAAAATTCTTTTTTAGTTCTTACGAAACTCAAATGTAAATTTTAGCTGGTGGCATAAAAAAGAACAGCTTATACTTGCTACCCAATGCTCTTTACATCATCAATTTGTTTTTTTTTCTTCCTACACGTGCACTTTCTTTTATCAACAGAATAGAAACAACATCGTCACCATTCTTATATTAGAAAAAAGAAAGTTTTTTCTTAAAATTTTCATGGCTTCTGTAACTTCTAAAACACCTTGCGTTACATGTGGTAAAGGTGCTGGTCTATTTAAATGTGAAGGATGTACACAAATATATTGTACAAAACATGTTACCGAACATCGACAAACCCTACATCATCAACTCGATGAAATCATTGTCGAACATGATAGTCTTCAAGAAAAAATCATTGAAAATAAAGATCAAAGTAATCCTTTAACAAAATATATTGATGAATGGGAACAAAGATCGATTATGAAAATTCAACAAATGGCTAAAGAGACTCGTCAAGAAATTGTCCAACTTTCAAATATACATAAGAGTAAAGTTTTGAAGAAAATACAGACTGCTATATTTGTGATATCTACTTCTTTTTTTACATAGGAACAATATCAAAAGAACTAAATCTTCTTACAGAACGAATAAAAAATGCACGTGAAGAAGATGATTTTTTTGAAACAGATCTTATCAATTGGATATCAACTTTGAGCCGACTGAAAGACGAACTGATGAACTTTCCATCATTGAACAGTATTAAAGAAGATCAATTAGTACCGTTAATATATCAGCTTAAACTGGTTACACGATCTTCTGAATTTGATGATATTAGTATGCATCAATATCTTCAGATTGAGCCACAGATGACAGCATCGGGAGATATCTTTGAACGTTGTCTGAATGGTGCTAATATTGAAGATAGCGGTCGACTTGTCGAACATAGTGCTTGGGATTGTTCTGTCGAAGTTCGTGGAAAATTTGGTTACTCATACGGTACACATAGATTTCGTTTTCTAATTGAGAAAAATCCAAGAGGAACATGGATTTTCTTTGGTATTATCTCTAAATCACAGCCAATGACAGAGTGCTCATATAAATCTTCTTCTGCATATGGATGGGCAGATTACAATGACTATTTTCTTGGTGGTATTCGTCAAAACGATCAAAATGCTGGCCAATTTTCTAATACAGTTGAAAACGATGTAATCATACTTATAGTCGATTGTACTAATCGAACGATTGATTATATTAATGAGCAAAACCTGAAAAGTCAACAATTAGATATTGATATTAATAAATGTCCATTTCCATGGCAACTTCATGTCAATCTTTATGGAGGAGGTGATCGAGTGCGTCTACTTAGTGCCACAAGTGATATTTCACTGTTTTCATAGTTATTGTAAACAATAAATGTTCATGTTTAATAAATCAGAATGTTTGTTATGTCTATTACATTTATTGTGAATTATATAAAAATAAAACTTAGGGGATAAATTACATTAGAACTCAAATATTCGATATGAAATCTCAAAAAGCTAAATCATGAGAATTACTTCTTGTATTTGTATCAGGTTATGTTGCAACAAAATATTCAATTTTTGATAAAATTTGATCTCAGAAAATAATGTTATTTTGTGTTTAGAGAGATCTGAAAAAGTTCAATTTCGTTGTTTATATTTAATTAAATCATAACTGCGTAGCGCAATAGATTCTGAATGTCAGTAAATAATATTCTATTTTAATTTCTTCTATTCATGTTTCCTTATTTTATTAACTAACTTGATTCAGTATCATCTTTTGTAAGGACCTTCTAAAAGAGGTTAATGTTTTGTTCATTAACCAATTCAGCTTCGCTTTTAACTACTTGATTGAATTCATCTTTATTAGTACATTCTTCACTATTTCAAATTTTTAATAGCAACACCTTGTTATTTCTTTATAGTCCATACAAATGAAACTTTATGTTTGTATTTTTTAGAATAATTACTGAAGCTTAGGTCTTGACTGAATTTCAGATTTCTAAACCTTACCTCTCTAGTAACAATAATAAGTACTTGGATTCAAAGGTAAGACTTCTTTTATATTTAGCATTTTCTGCTAGTTACTATTTCATAATTAATTGTATTCTCGTTTTTCATCAGCTATGTTCAACTGCTTTTTAATTCTAGTAATAACCAATTTAGTTAACACCGAAAACACAAGCAGAAAAGGTTGAGATTTATAAGAAGTCTTACCTATAAACTAAAGTGATCATTATTGTTCATAGAAGAGTCAGATCTGGAAGTTCAAATTTTCAAAAATGAACTAAACTTCAACAACTATTCTAAAAAATAATACTATTAGTATGCATTTCAGATTAAAACGGCATCGAACTATTTTCCCATAGCTTCAAAATAGTAAGAGAGAGAAATAACGCTAGTTTTCAGCAATTTTCTAGTATCGGCGTTGCTTTATTTGTTTTTTCATAAAATCAACAAAAGAATCTTTATCGATCAACGCAAGGTCTCGACCAACAGCTATTTTCATTTAAAGAAACATAAGGCTTTTACTGAACGCAACTCATCAAAATTAATCCATATCTGAGTAGCAAAGCGATATCTCTCATCAAATTCTATAAGTTAAATTTATTTGTATGGTATTCCAGCAAAATAATAATAGATTCTCTCCAAACTTTATTTTAACAATGTTTTTTTTTCTCCATGAATATTGGGAATCCAAATAATTATGCATCAGTTCCAATTAATTGATATCCAAATCGAGTAAACACCAGTTTACCAACAAAAGTGAGAGTCAGTACTCATGGAACAACAATTGAGGGTTATTATCGCATTAATAAAATTTGTGTCTCTATCACGTATGTATATACTATTCTATTGGTTCAGATCAATTTTAAAGAATTCAATGGAGAAATAATTTAACTCAAAAAACAACTATGACTTAATTTATTTACACAGTGAGCTGCAATATTTGTATAATAGAATCACACTATATGAAACTGTTTCCCTACACACTATCACTTCATAAACTATCAATTAAATCAAATGAAAAAATTGCTTAGTTGTCATAAAAATAAATACAACCTGCACATTTTTATGAAGATAACTGAAAACTTCTGTAAAACATTATTTGTTACCTGCTAAAGATTTGAAAAGAAATGCTAAGAAATCTTCAGTGAATCTCGTATATTTCTTCAACAAAAAACAGCTACCGATCTCAACCTTGTATGGATCAATAAAGGGGAAGTATAGCTATCTGTTAACTATATTACAATGAACTATAGAAAATGTTGAAAATTGGAGTTAGTTCTCTCTTAACCTTTTAAAGTTAGTCAAAAAAGTTCCTACGATGATTTAATTCTGACATAAACATTAATAGGAAAAAACACTATAGTTGTTATATTCACCCATAGTTCTCAAATCTTGAAAAGTTATTAGGGTACTTAAATAATAAACGACTAAAGAAGCATTAATGTTATAAAAATACTAAAAGCACTTATTTTCAAACACTACGATTATACATTTTTAAAATAGTTTCTGTTTGTTGTGCTATATTCTGAGAGTTAGCTTTTGCTCGATTCTTGGTCAACTTCTTAAGCTAAATGAGTTAATCATTCTTCAATAACTTTTTAAATCAAGAAATAAATTTCAATGAAAAATATCTTGAATAGCATATACAGCTACTAGTGTTTTTCTTTTCAATAGAATTTTTTGACATGCTTATTATATTCGATGAAGTGAAGTAATTTTAATCACGTTTTTCGTTTCTCTTCAATCATCGAATTATGTGCAAAACAGTGTTCTTTTTGTTATTCGATACTTGAAAAACTCACACGATGCATGAAGCATTACAGATATTTGCTATATAAGTAGGCAAAAAAAAACATTGGTGTGTGATATACTTTCATCTACAGATGCAAAATGCTGTTCTTTACAATTCTAGTTGCTTTAGGTGAAAGTATGATACAACATAAAATGAATATGTTTAATATCTTCTTTTATAAGCTACAAAAATAACACATAATTAAAGTGATACTATTTATAGATCATTATCAATAATTCAAATGGATATGAATCCAATTAAATGACAATGCAGATTTAATCATTCATCTGATGTAAAAACAAAGAAGTTGAAGAGTAAGCTAGACATTTACATATTTCAGTAATTTCTCATTGATTTTGAATTTCTTCTAGAAGTTTTTGATGAAGAAAAGTAAGTAAGAAATAAATACTTTCGATTCTATTATATTTATATTCTCAATATCACATAGTTTATCAATAACATATTTTGAGCATTTGTCTAATGAACTTATCTATGAAATCTTCGATTATCTTGATGCTTATGATATACATAAAGCATTTTCAAAACTCAATATTCGTTTTCACCATCTTCTAAGTTTTTCATCATTTCCACTCAAGATTAATCTTTCACAGCAATCACGAACAACACTCGAAGATTGCTGTCGAAATGTTATCATTCCAAATAAACATCGTATTCTTTCACTTCATTTACACTATCTTTCAGTTCATTCACACTATGATTTACACATCGATGACTTTTTTACTCATTGTAATATTGATTCGTCCTTCGATCGTCTTGAATCAGTTATTCTTAATGAGATTTCAGCCAGCAAACTTCTAATGATACTGTTTTATTTGAATTTTCTACCCCGTCTTGTCTCTTTGACAATTCAATTAAACAAAAGCGATTACTGCAATATCAGTCATATATATCGAATAATTTTCCATTTACCTTGTTTGAGGTTTAACAAGATGTCATTGTCAATTTACCGTCTACCATATAATGTCATACCAGTTTCTATGGACAAAAAATTTAGCACTATTGAACATTTGGTCCTCAATCATGATTGTGATCTTAATGAACTTATTTATATACTTTCTTATACACCTCATCTTCGACATTTAACTTGTCAATATTTGACTGGATTCTATGATTTTGATACAAATAAATTACTGTTAACATTACCTAACTTAACATATGTTTCTTTTGTTCGTTGTGAAGTAGATTTCGATACATTAGAAAATTTTATGAAAAAAATCTCTTCTCAACTACAAACATGGCATTTAAATACATCTGAAGACATGACTTATCTTGATACGAATCGATGGAAACGATTAATCGAAATGAATATGCCACACTTGTGCAAATTTCATTTCAATTATCATGTATTTTATAATTATCATGATATTGTTCTAAATTGTGAAGCAATCAATCAGTTCACATCAATATTTTGGACTGAACGTCAATGGTTCTTTGAGTTAAAATGTGAAATTAATAAATTGGTGTATTCTATTCATCCATATCGGTAGATAAAGAAAATTATCTCCAATTGATTTATATCTCTTGTTTGTTTTAGAAAAAGATGGTATGATTATCATGAGTATGAACAATATGATATATATTTGAATGGAGATACTCATCAACAGACATCTAAATGCCTAATCTTCAGTCATTGGAAGTTTTATCATTACCACTAGTGAAATTAAGCGACTTATCAAGTGAAAATACAGAAATGCTATTATTGGTATCGATCAGGAATAAAATTACAAAAGTCAAACTTGAGAAAATGTTAGAAATAGGACAAGTTCATTTTCTTATGAATCTTTGTCCTCGTATGCAATATCTTGAGATAGGATATACAGCAGAGAATGATTTGGAGAATATCTTAGGATCTATTTCAATGAACAATACAACACTTAATCTTTACCTTTGTTGCTTATGCCTATATGTATCAAATGCAAATGAAAAGACGATTCAAAGATTGAATTCGATCATCGATTATGAGAGACTTTTTCATTCGGATAAAGCTTTTTGTGACTACACGATTCAACACAAATGTGATAAAATCTTTCTAAAATGGAAATTACACTAAACATTATTTTATGTGACTTGTTTCCTTTTATTTTTGTTATGTTTCTTTCTTGATAAAAATAAAACAATCATCTTTATATCGATGATATATTTAATTTAGAATATTGTGTACAAATGCTTTGTTTATAAATTTTTATAATATATATATTTTTTAATACAAATTAGACATATGTCTACAAGCGTATCTAATTTCTTCTTTTGATAAATGAATTGAATATATGAGAGATCGATGATGAAGTTCTAACATATATTTCATTTATTTTACTGTTTTTTTTCACTTATTATATGATTCATTTTTCACTTCTTATTGTTGTTGGATGCAAAATATTTTAATAAGCTTGGTAAGAAAATAAACGAACACGCTGCAATGACACTTGATACGAGCTGACAAAATATATGATGATACATGATTATAGAAAATATCACCTAGGATATGTGATACCATTCATCTAAAAAATCAAAGGAAGTAAAATAAAAATAAAAAAAAAAAACATTAAGTATTTCAAATAGAGATGTATGAGACAAAAAATATTAACAATCTACTGAGCTCAATTCACGAACAGAACGAACTAGCAATCAAAAATAAAGATTAACGTTTTATAATTCTGTTAGGGTGTGGGGTGTGGGTTTGAATGTCAGAGAAGACTCGACCGACACCCATACTCACACCCGCAACCACACTATATATAATATCATATTTGATCGATGGACTTGCAAGATTCATACCTTATACAAAGTATAGGGTTTACACTGTACATAATGTCATGTACATTCTTGGGTGGAGACATGTTGCTTGAATAGAGTCGAAGATGTGAGACTGGCAGTGCTTTAAGCATTATGAATGTGTTTTGTTGCCTGTCTTGTTTGGTTGTAAGATCTTTTCCCTATGATGTTGTAAGAGACGCGTTGCTTTTTATAAATGCACTAAGCTTTTGCAATCTAGAAAAACGGAAACCATTTTTTTGTTTCAAAATTTAGTTTGAAATGAAACATCTCATACACTCTGTCTCGTATATTTCTAAGGACAATCTATTAGAGACTGTGTATGGCAGTGGACCAACAATCTTCACTGCAAAAAACAGAGCCAAAGGATCTATGATTGATTATATGTCATGATATCAACGAGAAAGAAAGTTTGCATTGACAGGAAAATTAATTACATATTTATTACATTAATGATTGATTAAAGAAAGGTGAGAGACATAGAGAGAGATAGTGAGAGAGTAAAAATATTGTATGATGTAAGAATATGAGTTTGAATAAGATGAATTTCTTCAGTGAATTATTTCTTTCAGCCACTGATTAAAGTTGAATGAAACCTCGATTGACCATAGCTTTCATGCTCCATCCATTTCGTGAGCCATCATCATTGTAGAATTTCCATGTCCAAAAGGTCCAACCACCGGTGGCTCCTTTGAAGGCTTCGAGTTGAGCTTGAGCATAGCGACGCAGATCATCGTCATTGTCGAAATTAGCCGACGATGCAATGCACCATTCACCAATGAATAACCAGTTACCTACCCATGCATTTACAGCATTTTTTAGTTCGTTCTGTGCATAAGAAATCAGACGATTCTTGTCCCAACCCTATACATGAAAAAGTATTAGAAATTAGAGATACAAAAATTTACTTACTTCAAAACCCCAAATTTGATAACGATGCCATTCATGACGAACATTGTACCAATTGGGCCATCGCATGAAATTTTTCCAATCGCTATCATAAGGTCCCTGCTGATAGAGTAAAGGAGAAACAACTAGAAGACAACTTGAAAAAAGACGAATGCGTCCATAGGCATCATAATAGTATTGTTTCAATACGCTTTCTGGGGTTGTACCTATCAATAGGATAGGGATGAAATGACAAATTTAAAACATAAAGAAGAATATACCCGATGGTTCATTGAGCAGACCAATGCCTAGAAATGCTGCATCGCCATTATATCTTCGTGCTAACCACTCGACAGCATCCAAGGTGTTTACAACATTTTCCGGGTAGTTTCCCCAGTGGGAGTTTCCCGGATCAGATGGTGCACTATGATCCATTCCATTTTGACTACCTTTGGCAGCGTGATATGAAATTAAGACGACCAAATTATATCGTGGCGCCCAATCTCGAATAGCTCGATCAAGATAACTGATTGCATTAGGAGCAAATACTCGCCATCCGTTCGGATCACCACCACCGCTATTGTCGAATCCTGTGATCCAGTACCCAACAGGAATTCGAACAGTGTTCATTTTGGCGGCAGAGATATCACGAAAGTCTTGTTCAGTAATGAATGAATCGCGATGTCGTTTGAATTGATCATCACCTTTGGCATGACCTTTATAAGAGAAAGACGACAGTTTATGAAACGATTGAGAAACAAACAATAATTACCAAGATATTGCATTGTTTGAAATTCACCCTTGTTGGCGATGTCGTCAGGAACTCCATTCCATGCGGGCGATCCTTTTGTCATCCAGTTTTCCGCAACGAGCCAACCACCAAGATTGACACCTCTCATCGGTATGTGTCCATTCTTGATATCTTCTCTGAGTGTATCGAGCGAACTTTAATTCAACAATGAGAAACATGTGTGGCTATTTCTTCACATGGCTTCCTACCTGCGCTTAATGATTGTTAGTCCACTGCTAATTCCAATCAGAATAAAGCCCAGCCAAATATCGGTAACATACATGTTATGCAATGGATATTGGATGCAAACTAAAAGTTGAATTAGAAGAATGACAACGGCAAATGGTTGTAGGTTCATTCTTAAACAGTCGAGTCTTTTACATGACGTATATTTCTTGTTCGCTGGATATGAAACTATTCAAATATGGATGCAGGATAGAATGCCTACTAATACTCATGTAGAAAACAGGGGAAAATCAGATTAAAATCGATCACAATTTAGTTAAACACCGATTATAATCATACATCTTGAATCGATTTAAATTCATAGTAATTATTACAAATCCACCTACATTCTTGCTACACTATAATGATTATAGCCTATGAACTAGATAGGAAAGCCGGTACCTCAATGTCCAAATCTTTACGTCTATACCTTATAACTATATTCCTGCAGCTATGTTTTTAAGACCGTATTCTTATACCTATATCCTTATGACAATATCCTTACACCTACACCCTTATAATTATACATTTACATCTATAACCTTGTGTATGTTCAAAATCAGCATAAAAAACTGAATCAAACAACATAGATTTTATTATAAAATATTTTTCATTGAAATTCGATCCTGGCGAGCAACCCGACGAAATAACTTCGCAGAAGCCATAAGAGAAGTAGTGATCGGATTTCGATGAAAAACATTTTTGAATAAAATTTTGTGTTATTGGATTCAGTTTTGCATGCTGATTTCGACTATCACATGCATTTTATTTGACAACAAAATTTTGAAGGTCAACATGTCCAAACATGAGCCCATTTTTAATTATTTTACCACTGATATCGAAAAACTTGATTTTCCCAGGAACACATCATTCTTTTTTTACACAAATACGTATTTTTTTTCAATTCGTAAACTAACTGTAATCCGCTAAAAATAACTTTTCGATCATTCATGCAAAAGTACTTGATAGACTTGAAATGTGCATTGAAAGCCCTTTCTGGGTTCTACTGATGTTCTAAGAGGAAACAGCTTATTTTAGACCACTAGAACGACTAATCCAGTATTTTATACATAGTTTAATATGAAAAATTCCAAAAAACTAGTTTTGGAAGTCTAAAACATCAATAAACACGACGATTTGGCATAATACTTAAAACTTCATTCATTTTGCATGTTAATGACAAACTCATTATTTTGAATATTTTCAACGAAAACCAACTTTCAGACATCTAAAACAATATTTTTTTCTATATAATTCGATGAGCTCTAGGCACATAGAACCAAAACAAAAAATAAATTTCTGCTCAAATTTTGAATTTTTCGCACGTTACTTATACCCTCATAACTATGCCCTGACACTTATTCTCTTACGAGGGAATCTTCCAAGTACTAAAAAACTTTCGAGCTCAACGTCTGTCGATCCGTAGACCACATCTACAGCAGGAAATCTTAAAAGAATATGAGTATAGGGTATACTTTGGCTGAGATATTGACAGTGTAGTATAATTTCGCAGCAGAACCCTACTTATCTGATAATATCAAACTTTGCCCACATCCAGGCTTCAGTTAGAATAGTTTCCCTACAATGTTTTAAAATCTTTGAACAACTTATCGCCAAGATATGAGTTTTTCGAAATATTTATGCATAACACAATATCTATAAAAAAAAACGTCTTCATGATAACAATCAGCTATCTGAGAAATAACTTGTCCAAAGGTACAAAGCTTTGTAGGCATGCTAGTCTGATTGAAGTTTTTATGCGAACAAAGTTCCTGATGCAAATGAGAAACTTTGATTTTATCAAAAAAAGTAGGGTTCTGATGAAAGAACTACACACCAATATCAATATTATCTCGGCCAAATTGTAACTTGTGCCTATATCCCTTCAAGCCTTTTCCGATGTAGATGTGCCATATTGATGGAAAAATTTTGAACGCAAAAAGCTTTTAAGCAGCTCGGAATGTTTTCTCGTTAGACTTGTATCCTTATGAGTAGGGATGGGTCGTTAACTTGAAATTATGTTAAGTTTTCTCACTTAATATGTAGTATAAGGTTTAAGTTTTTCTATTTAAAACTTAATTTTAAAAATTAAGTGTTAGTAACGAACTTAATACTTAATATCAAGTTTAAGTGATTGTGTCAAGCAAGTAGCATTTAATTTCAAGTTTTTCATGATCCCTAAAGGGACACACCGTGCTACTGTTCGGGTCGTATAAAAGGGAACTCCTGATAACTCATGATTGACTCGGAACAACATTAGATTTTGTCCATACAATAGTGAAGAAGGTAGTTTCCATCGAATCTGATGGATCGATAGGAAAAAAGGCATCAACCAACCCGATTTCGATAGCGATTTTTCGTCTGTTGTAAGGATAAAACCTACTGCGGTTCAGTATTGATCAGAAGTTATCAGGAATCCTCTTTTGTATGATTGAACAATAGCATGGTTTGTTCTTTTTGGAGGAATGAAAGACTTGAAATTAAATGATATTTTCGTAAAGCAATCACTCAAACCTAATTTTAAGTGAGTTAGGTGTTTAGTATAAAAAAAGTTAAGCCTAATATTAAGTGTTTTCCTTGGGTATAGGTAGTGCCATAGATGGAACTGCTCTACCGACAATAGATCGATTCTTATAATGAAATTTTGTTTCATAGTGAAATCTCGCAAGTAATCAACTTGGATCATGAATCTGAAATATCTGAACATTTGTGTGTTAGTATTCAGTATGTGAGCTCCTACGAAAAATTATCGGTGATCCAAATATCAATGTATTATATTTGATTTTATGACACGATCACAATGCATTACATGCATCCGAGATTTAAACGTAAAAAACCATAAAATTACGTTCTTCACAATAATAATAACACATGTATATTTCAGTTGCTGTGTTTTTTAATAGGTACCCATATATTACATATTAATACATAAATGTTAAGATATTTCAGATTTATGATCTAAGTTGATAACTTGTGAGATTTCACTATGAAACAAAATTTCATTGTAAGAATATGATCTATCACCCGTAGACCAACATTCATCGTTAGACTGACCGATCGAAAATCCGTAACAGTACCGGTTCCATCTATGGTTAGTGTTCTCTCAATAACAAGTTCTATTTTCGTTAGTTTCAAGTTGGGAGATATGGGTGTTGGTTTATGCAGGCCGTAGTTTTCGAGAAAAAAAGATTTCCAATCTGGAATGCTCACAGCTACACCTACACACCAACACTCACATATGTCCACATTTGCTCGCCATTCGACTATGTTGAAGCGAATCCGACGAGGAAGATAATACCATTCGAATAGTTTGAGCTAAACTTTTTAGTATGAACTTTCTAGAATCTAATAGAAATTTCCTAACATTTTTGATAAAATTCGTTGTTCGTGAACGAAAACAAGTTTTTCATACAAGAAGAAGATTCAACCCTTTTGAACGAAAAAAAAGCAAGTTGGCATCATGTCATCTTCCTATATGTTAAAAAACCATCTCTCTATTTAAAAGAAGAGAGTATATTCTTTCCTATGAATATTTTTTCTTTATTCAGTCTCATTCCACTGAGTGTGGATTAGGAGACAATCTACACATCCATACTCACAATTAATTGTTAAAGATAAAATGCAAGAAAGTGAGAAGTAAGATTTACTCTATGTTCGTGCAAACAGAATTGTCGAGATTTAAAAAGTTTAAAAAATGAAATTGTCTCTTAGTCTCTTTTTGACAGATGCGACTAAGTTCCTAAACTATTATTAGACCATTGCGAGAGCATTGAAGAAAAAAAGCACCTGGTTTTTGTGAAAAGCGATCTAAAAGAAACATTGAAGTATATAGGGTAGACATTTGTATTCTTCCTCTCCACATACCGTGATGGACATTACCATGTAAACATCACAAGCTGTGACAAATATTGTTGATTTAGGATCACAGATCACATATCAATAACATCTCGTTATAATATATGAACTAATTCCTTATTACCTTTCTAGACGGTCAAGTAAAAGGATGACGAAGAAATGTGTCCCAAAATAAGTACAATAAAACAATTCTTATGTGATTAGCAACAAGAACACCATCGTATTTCACTTTTTAATCCGGCAGGAATTATGCTAACAACTTTTTGTCAATATTTGACTTTTAATGATACATAGTGAAAAACTTACTTGTATTTCTAGTTTTAACAGTTGTTGAATGATTCAAATACTTGTTGAGGTTCGCAGCAATCTGTTAAAAACGAGTGTATCTGTGTTTGTTTTACAGTGAAAAACACAAATCAATAACGTTTGTCGTTTGCTTGCTGGATTGTGTATTTTTTTTTGTATCGTTTGCATGTAGCTCCTACGTTTATTTATATGACACATGCTCGGTTCTTTTCCTTCCAACGCAAGTGGGAAAGAATTAATAATTATTAACAATCGTCATTATTTTTTCATTGATGATATGTGTGGGAATGTGCATGTGTTTATTAGTTGTTTCTCTCTGGCATCCCCACTTGCAACTGAAAATGTCTCTGTAACTTTTCTATTTCGATAACTAAAGTATTATTATCAAAAAGAATATTGTATCTATTATGTGATGAATTGATCCGAGCTAATAATGTACTTTAAAATGTTTTATAGTTGAATGAAACATCTATCGAATATGATATTGCATTATAGTATATCTTGTATAAAAAAAACTTCCTCAATTAAAAAATTCTTATATTAAAATTCCTAGTTGATCACTAGAATTAGCCTAAAACATTGAATTACTCACAAATGTGGATATCATTTACGAAACCACAATATCTGGTAAATCATAGGCATTTCTTTTTTTCTTAACAAAAAAAACATTATTCAAATATATCTCGATCACATTCAACTTTTTAATGGAACAGAAACTAAATG